GTTCTGGGCTATCATTTTTTTCCTTTTCTTTCTTTTTTTCTTTCTTTTTTCTTTTTTTACATCCCAAAAGGGGGGCCGAGGCCGGGCCGCCCCCTAAATCCGCCCCTGTCTAGATACGCCACTAACTTACATGACCAGATGAATGAAAATACTCAATCGATGTGCCACCAAATCGTAACCAGCCTTAACCATGCCCTCACGATGTTACCGGGGACGCAACTGCAAAAAAACCCAACTATTTTTGACAGTCAACAATCAACAAACTACCGGGTTTCTGGGTTGGTTTGCAAGGTACTAACATGGCTCAACTATTTTTTACTTAGGGGTTAATTGGTAAAAATCGCAAACAAATCATACGACGTCACTGAAAACGCCGGGGACGGCAACTCGATTTTGAGATTAATTTTTCGAATACATTTATACTAAATAACTTCTAATGACGAACTATTGTCTTCAGTTGTCTTTGTTGGTCATTCTACTGTCATTTTATCTATTTCTTCGGTGATGTTACCATTCTCAATAACCTATAAAACACCCATATAACACCGTCACGTTAGACCGATCGGTGGGGACGCCGTGGTGACGCTTGTAGGGTCAATTTTTGTCGAAGGTATCAAGATGATAAACAGTTTCATTAGAATAAATTCTTGCTTATGTTAACCACATGTTTACCTAAGATTATGCTGACACTGGTTCCAAATAACGGTCAAGTAGTTAAAAATCACCTTAAATCACCTTATTTTGCGAATTAGTGCCCCTCAACTGATCATCGAGCCCCCCCCCCCCGACCAAGATGTGTATAAGAGACAGAGATACGCCACTGACTTACATGGCCAGGTGAATGAAAATACTCAATCGATGTGCCACCAAATCGTAACCAGCCTTCACCAGCCCTTACGATGTCACCGGGGACGCAACTGCCAAAAAACTATTTTTACAAACAATCAACAAACTACCGAGTTCCTGGATTGATTGGCAAGGTACTACATTTTTCGGTGATATTACCATTGTCAATAATCTATAAAACACCCACATAACAACGTCACGTTAGATGATCGGTGGGGACGCCGTGGTGACGCCGGTAGGGTCAATTTTTGTCAAAGGTATCATTAGTTTCATTAAACTAAATTCTTGCTTATGTTAACCACATGTTTACCTATCGTGATGTATTCCAAGCATCATGAGGCTATCCAAACGAGCATTTGTCATAACAGAACGCAAATTATTTTTAATGAGTCTCATTAAACTATTATTATTATTATTATTATTATTATTATTATTATTATTATTATTATTATTATTATTATTATTATTATTATTATTATTATTATTATTATCATTATTATTTCTGCTTTACCCTGGGTGACCTGATAGGTGCAAAAACATTTTTATCCTCAAGGGCCCAGTAACACATACAATAAAAACCTTAAATGACAAACCTGTCTGTATTATATTTATACTATTTTTGGTTGTCAAGGGTTATCTCGAGACAAGTTTTATTCAAAATGTCTAGAAAGAATCCAAATCAAATTGAATTTCATCTGTATATTTTCATTGACTTAAAACTGTATTGTTATGTTATTATTTATTGATTTGATTAAATAAATATTGTTGAAAAAAAGCTGAAAATTTTCCTTTCAATTAAAGACCTACTATAAAATAATAGTGATGTGAATGCACTTTTTTTTTTAGCTCCGATAAGGAGCTCTAGAATCACTCGGCTGATTAATAGATCTTTTATAGTTCTACTGCCTCTATTATACTGCCCTCATGGAGGCTGGTTGATTAATAGACTTTTTTTAGCGCTACTGATTCTATTGTACTGCCTTCATCGTAGCCTCGTTCATCCTGCCTTCAGATTGCTATAAACTGAATCGCCTTACTTTATCATTATCTTTTTGCTCTACATAAGCTTAGTGTTCAGACGTGATTCCACTTGATAATGATGGTTGATGCTGTTAAAACATGTCGTGGTTTAAATTGATTATTTGTAATAAATACATTGCTGCCTTTGTATTATATTAGACAATGCACACATTAGATGATGTTTTGTGTGTGTTTTGTGAACGAATAACTATTTTATTAGAGATTTGATTTCATATTTAAAACTGTTTCTTAATATCTTAATTTTGCTCTAAATAGAGATATTTAAAGACAACTAAATCTATGTTATACCTCGATGCTAAAACCCAAGTCCCAAAAGTGGTTTTTAACCAGTATTTGAAATTAATTACCAAATATGTTATATTCATTTGTTTTAAAACGACACAAATTTATTATCAGGAATATTTTTTACCGTTTATGTAAATCATCTGACAAGTTTGGATACAAGGAGAGGGAGCAGTGGCGGGCGCGTCAGCCAGTGGCGGCTCTAGGATATATTTTCTGGGGTGGGGGGCTAAGTTGTCCGACAGGGGGGACTTGAGCTC